CACCGCAGAAAGAGTGAGGGGAAAGCATGATGAGGAGGTGGGAATTAGTGCTGAATTAGGCAACGCTTTGATTGCAAACTGATTGACTGTTGGTTGGCAAAACATGAAAGAATGACCTTGGGAAAGGAAGTATGGATTGGCTGGCAGCATCTCCTCTCTTTCTCTCTTTATTATTTTTTAAACCTCTCTCACTCTCAGTGCAGAGAAAAAGCAGAAAAACACACAAAACTGGCAAATACGCACACACCACATGAAGATACACACACGCATGTGAGCACTGACAGAAAGGAGCTCCACTTCTAGGATTTTTTGTTTTGTTTTTTTTTTTACTCCCCATACCGAGGCAATGGGGGAAAATGAACACACAGGCACGTAGGACAAGCCAGAGTTGAGAGAGCAACTTCAAAGTGAGGCAGATGCAGGGACAGCATCCTCTGAATAAATTTCCTGGCCACCAGTCGATCTGCCCCCGGGCTAAGATTGTGGCTGTTCGCATCTCTCCTGACCCTCTCATCAACTTGCTGTTAAAACCAATCCTACTCTAACAAGGCAGTCACAGGCAGCAGGGAGGAAGCAAGTGGTACTAGTAATATAAAGAAGACGTGTTTTTCCCATTTTGCATGTTCCAGGTAAAGAAGTAATTAACTTTCCTCAAAGATGTGATTTTTCTTTCCTAAAAGGAAAAAAAAGCAGCTGTGCTGATGATTAAATCAGTATTTTCCTTCTGCAGCGAGGGAAAATATTTCAAGGGTATTTTAAATCTATCAGCCGTTAATTGTGAATGCATGATTTTGTCTTTAATTTTAAAAAAAGCTGAATATATATACGTATATATATATATATAATGCAACAAAGACTATTTCCAAACTCAGGGCATGTACCTGCTTCTCTCTCCCCTGCAGCCGATGACTTGAACATGTTAAAATGCACTGCTCCTTGAGTTGAGTCCGCTGGTCAAACGTTATTGTTTTATATAAAATTGATTCTGTCAAAAAAATGTAGGAAATATTTTTGCCCATCAGCTCTGGACACGTGAATGTCTGCTGACTTCTTAGAATAAACATTTGTGAAATGGATATGACTTAGGTGGGCAAGCGGTAGGTGATGTGAGGGTGGGTGAGGGGAGATGCTGCCCCACCGTTGTAAGCAAAATCACGAAAATTTATTTTTTTGTTATGAGGTCCACCTGAGAGAGTGCGACTGACCACAATCGGTGGAGGGGGGGAGGATTGGGGGGTTAACAAGGAACATCCCCTTTGTTAAAAAACAAAACAAACAAAAAACAACTATTCTAGAGAAGTAAATATAGTAAAAAGCTCTGCTTTTCTGTGGTACTGTACACTTCCAACAGCCCTGTGATTTAAAAAAAATCAAACACTTGCATTCCAACTCAATCTAAATATTGCATGACAAAGAAGATTGCATTCTGAAGATTAACACTTTTACTGCATCTACATGAGTTTATTATCTGCTAAGGACGGACAAAACTGTGTTGTTTTTCTAGCAAGAAAAACTGTATTCCACACTTTTAATACCATCAACAGCTTCAAACCACGTATTATTGCAATAGAATCTCCAAAGACACCAAATTTATTTATCTCATACAATTTCCCACAGTTGTGTTATATCTCACTGTGCTGTTACAGCTCACTGAGAACTCACTTTTAATGTGAATGCCTGTGGTGTTCCATGGTACGCTGCTGAAAGTGAGGCCTGAGTGAGAAATGTCAGTGTATTGTCAGATATTTTATTTACCTCAGTGTTGACTAGTTTTAATATTTGATTCCTTTATTAAACATTTATTAGGGCTCTGGTGCATGAATGCGCTTTGAATAATTGTAATTGCACCTGCTGGGACATGTATGCACGGTCTATTACATTTGTGACATGTGATTTGTTTAAAAAAAAAGATGGATTTTTTTTCTTTGTGTTTTTGTAAGTGTGGTGAAAAATGCAGTACTTTTAAAGTTAGGTAAAATTCTCAGCGATTAAGCCGGTTTCAGTTTCACAAAACTACATATATAACCGTGTGCATTAGTTAAGAGGGCATTCTGTTTCATGCTGTGCATGCTGTTTGGGCCAGGAATACAATCCTGTACAGCCCTGAAGTAAAAAGATCACCTCTGTGTGTGTGAATGTTTATGAGCACACACAAGAATATCTGTGTGCATGTGAAAACACGCAGTTCTAACTACCCAGTTCTCTGTGCAGTTTATAGAAGATGCTGCATATTGCCAAGGTAGCCTATATGTTTCCTTTAACTGAATACAAATACACACATTGCAGTACACCTGCACACACACATAAATACACACACCTCGGAGGATTGGGGATCTAATGAGGCCCATGGAGACGGTGCTGAATTGTCAGTCAACCCTCAGCTTGCTGACATGCAGTCGACAGCATCAGTGGCTTCTTTCCTCAAACTGAAGAAGCCTGTCAACTTGCATCAGAAGTTAGAAAAAGTCCAGCAGAATTTTAGGCAGAGTGAGAGAGAGAGATAGAGAGAGAGAGAGAGAGAGTGAGGGAGAGAGAGAGAGAGTGAGGGAGAGAGAGAGCGAGCGAGAGAGTTTGAAGACAAGATGGAGTTAAAGACAAGATGGAGTTGAGCCTGTTGTGTGAAAGAATTCTTAACAAAGGAGTCCAACATTCATGCACATCCCTTTTTCAATGTCCTAATTCCCCGGTGATATATTTTAATGTGAAAATTACATATCTAATTCAGGTTACATTAAACTAAAATAAGCATGACAATTTTAGTTTTAAAGGGGATAAAAATAACTGAAAAAGACAACTTAAATCCAGACAACTGGCTCCAAGATGGTGGCGTGCACAGATGCAGCGGTTCGAGGCTCTGCACTACTTTGCACCTTTCTGTGTTTTTTATGTCTTTTTTGTTTCTTTCTTCTCAGTCCTGTTGCAGCCCTGTGTTACAATGACAATAAAGCAGTGGTTCTTAACCTGGGTACCATCAAACCCCAGGGGTTTGGTGAGTCAGTCTCAGGGGTTCGGCAGAGGACAAGATACACACCAAACTCGTATGATTCGTGATGACCCGCGCCCACCCCCACCCCCTGCCTGGCCATCACCGAAGGGTTCGGTGAATGCGCATATGAAACTGGTGGGGTTCAGTAACTCCAACAAGGTTAAGAACCACTGCAATAAAGACTATTCTATTGTAATCTGATCTAAATAACTAAACAGTTGGCAAAATGATCAAAAATGCCATACAGGTCACCCACAACAACAGATAAAAGGGCTGCAAGATGTAAAACAAAAAAGGTAAAATAATTAGTCAGAATAAAGCAAAAATTATTGAAACTTAATCAACAACAGAGTTATCCCTGATATTTAGCAATAAATTGAAAATTAGATAAAATAAATTAAGAATGAATGAAGTTTGGCCATAACATAGTTATTAATGATACAAACACAACCCAGTGTTGACTGTATGTGTGTAGAGAGAGGTGAGCCAGTCTTGTCCTGGGTGTTAAGATGCTCACTGTGTCTAAAGTTGTGCCATAATAGGCCAGGCTTATCCTAGATGTTATTGAGCTTTACTATTCCCAGTGTATTGTTTCTGTACATGCAGACATGCAATTTATATGGCAGCATGTAATTATGCCGCTCCCACTGGCCTGTCATTTTCACACAGCAGCAGCCAGTGTGGTCTGTATGTGTTTGTCTTCACACCATATAACGAAGGATATGATAACACCTTTTCATAAAGAATAATCAGTTTCATAGGTAGTAAAAAAAAGGAGTAAGTCATCAAAGGTGAAAATGAGTCCTGGCTTACTGTCATTCATTCAAAGTGGAACTTCATCACACTGAGGGAGGACACTATCTGCATGTCCTCCCTCACTGATTTTTAAAAAATATGTCTTCAGTCTAAACAGATTTATTGTGTTTAATCTCTGCTGCATGTCTTCTGGGCCCAACGGTCAATTCCAGGCTGATGATAGTTCACATCATGGCTTTAAATTCAAATGTGAACAACAACAACAACAAAAAAATCGTATCCCAGGAAAAAGCAACACCTAGTAAAATACCTACATTTATAACATTCATTTGCAGGTAAAATGGCGTTTGAGTCCACCATAGACAGCCTGAGGGTCTCACCTTGTAATACCCCAGAGTGGGGCTGAGCACATCTCACATTCTAGACTATGTATTGAACATGACACGTTATGTTATGTAGTTAACAAGTTAGCTAGACATTAAAGCGGTGGCTTTAATGTCTAGCGTGACATTAAACTTGTTTAGTTTAAAGTTTAGTTTAAACTTCTTTAGTTTAATGTCACCGGAGTGCTGCATTTATTCTATATCCTGAGCAGTTGTCTTTGCTTATTAACATGTATTTAACAATATTTCAACCACGAAAAATGATTAGTACGACTGGGACTCAATGCACTGAAGTATAGGAGGCGGGAGTAGAGCTACAGGTGGCAGACCCCAGATCAACCAATTTACTATTTCTTCAGTTTAACTACAACTGCTGTTACCACCAATATAAGCTATAATTAATTATTAATTATAATTATTAAGAATTATAATAACAATTATTATAAGTTGTTTTAATGACCGTTGTTTTGTGTGTATGTGTGTGCGCGCGCGCTCGAGTAGCCTGGCGTATTGGGGGTTAGACAGGAAAAAGCTGATCTACATGGTGCTGAATGAAGTGTCGATTTTCAGCTCTAACTCCTCCTTCTCCTCATTTTACTCCTCCTCCTAGTTCTCCTCGTTCTCCTCCTCCTCCACTGTTCGCCGCCTGCGCTCTTTCTTCCACTCTAACAGTTGAGTAGTTTTGAACAGGGCGCATTCCCCGGCAGCAATGTGGAGGGAAAGAAGCGACCACGTTCAGCTGAAAACACACTCACGCAACGACAACAACAAAAAACAAAAACCGACCAGGTGGAGTTCTTATCGTAAAGTTTTCTTTTTAGAAGTTTTATTATTTTTTGGTGGTTTTTTCCACCCTAAAGGCTTTAGTTTGAGTTTAAACCGTGCCTTTTTAAACTCCACGGGAAGACGACCGCAGCTTTTTTTGTTTTGTTATTGTTATCATTATAATTTCCGGTTTTCTGTTTTCACGCTGAGTTTGGAATTTTTGTGGGATGTGCTTGTTCGTTCTGTGAGGAACCTGTCCGTTGTTTGGACTTGAGTTGTGGATCACTTGGAGGAGGAGCAGAGAGACTCCTCATTCCTCAGGGAAGGGACACAAACTTCTCCACGAGCTGCAGACAAGGACTAAGAGGAGAAACTTTTCTGCGCATCCGGCCACTGAAAAATTCAGACCTTAATTTTAATTTCCTCTCCGGCAATTTATTTTTTTAAAACTGTGGATTAACTGTCGTGATCATCGGCAGACATAGTGGTCATGGCGCACGGGATGAGGGGCTGAGCAGGGAAGATTTTGGAACATGAGCAGTTCCTTGTAGTGTTGGTCTTCGCTGCTCCACATTGGCTCATTCGGACTAAGACGCTGATCTGATCTTTTCTAGGACTCAACTGTTGCTTCGACTGTTTTTACCCATAAACGCGTCCAGTGCCGTTGCCAAAATGCCTCAGCTGAACGGAGGTGGTGGAGACGACCTGGGAGCCAATGATGAGATGATCTCTTTTAAAGACGAGGGGGAGCAGGAGGAGAAGATATCCGAGAACGTGTCTGCAGAGAGGGACCTGGACGATGTCAAGTCCTCCTTAGTGAACGAGTCGGAAAACAACAGCAGCTCGTCAGATTCTGAGGTAAAAAACAAAACAAACTACAGCACCACATGTTGCTGTTTCTGTGATTTACCAAAAACCCAAAACATCTCCATCAAGTTTGCTATCTTAAAACCATAATAACTAATTTTATAAAATATCTATCAACGTAGTGTGGTCCAGACCGTTACCCCTGCAAAAGTTCCAGATCTATTCATTGTTCCTAAATTTTATTGCTCACTAACCAAGAGCGTTTCCTTCTTGGTGGAGAAAACAGTGTTCCTTGACTGGGCTAAGCTTGAACTTGGGTCTGATTTATTTCACACTGTTTCAATGGTTTCTTCCCTCTTGGTTTTTCCTTGTCAGCAAGCAGAGAGGCGCCCCCAAACCAGAGCTCACTCTGAGAGTTATGAGAAAACCAGAGACTACTTCAGCGAAGGTAAATACACACGTAAACATAAGATAAAATAACACCCTGGTGCATTCTTGTGTGCTGCGGCTGGTAGCCTTTCGGTGCCATTCGTTTACCCCTACTTTTAAACATTCCTGCAGCATTGAGAAGGCAGCAAGATGGTGGCTTTTTTAAGAGTCCTCACTATCCTGGCTACCCATTTCTTATGATCCCTGACCTCACCAACCCCTACCTGTCCAATGGTTCGCTGTCTCCCACTGCCAGAACTGTAAGTATCACTTTTGTCATGTCCCCTTTTCTGTCTCTATATTTTTGCGTTTCCTCATTTGAAAAAAATATCTTTGTTGAAGTGCAATGCAGTTCTCTATGCACTGACAAATCGCCATATTCCTTCTGGGTGTACTCTTTAAGGAGCACTAACTGCTGCTTTGTTTTTTTGGAGGATATAAATTTCTCTGTACCACCAAACCTCCGCAGGGCCTGCATCTGACAACTTCTCATTCAGACGAACGTCCACATACATTAGTTACTGGCATTAGTTAGATTACTGGCAGTTTTTCTGTACAACTGACTGAATTACACACCTAATTCATGTGCGTTACACAAAGCTGACGTTATCGCATGTCCCGCCATTGTTGCTTTGCTTTACTTGCATTTCTTCCACAGTAAAAGTGAAGAAATACTGCAACATGTGTGCTTGTTGGTAAAGTTTATCGACTCCAATGGGTCTTACAGGTAGAAAACTGAACACAAGTCAGTGTTAGCTGCAGTAACAACTGAATAATACCTGTCTTTGACAAACAGGAGAGGAATTTCCTTACAGTGTTTGTGGCAGTTAGCATCCAAATGTTTTTGCAGACTGTCAGTCTAAGACCTTCACACTAGCAGCCAGACATGATTCATATCAGTTTTTTTTATCCATGGTTGTGGTCAGTGGTAGAAATCCTAGCTACCACATACCAAAGTCATTTTTGTTACTTTGGTATGTGGTCATAAGCAGAATGATTTGTGCTCCTTTCTGCTTATACAAATCCATTGTCATTGTAAAGTCAAAAACTGGCTGCATGTGTACAAACATACATATGCCATTATAATTTAATTTGGTGTTTATTTATTTTTCTAAGGGGTAAAGCCAGAACATCCACTTTGAGAAATAGTGTCTGTAGCTCTGCTCTTTATAATCCTGTTTACCAGTCAGTATTACCAGTCAGAGTCCTACAACCTGACATGTGAGTTGGCAAAAGTTTTGAGAGGATTATCTCATATCTACAAATACTGTTTTTGTTGGGGCATTTTACGGCGCACTACAATCTAAGTATGTCTTTACAGGCAATGCTAAGATTGAGCACTGTTGCATTATTGGAGAACAAATGCAAAATACTGAGAAAACACGATATTGGTGAGTTTCACACCAGTTAGTGAATATTGTAAATTGGAGCTGGAGCCATGATGACAAACACAATAATGTGCCGTTTAGCCATCCCTGCAAAGAACTTCACAATGTGAATGTCACGACAATTGTACAAACTGAAATAATCCCTGTCTACTCCTCTGGGCTCGTCAAGCCCTCCGTTCGTGTGAACCCCCTCCTCCCAACTTGTATCCTGAAAAAAGTACTTTCGTTAAGGCCTGGCAGGCATCTGACTGAAAGGACGAGTCCTCCTCCCCCAACTACACCCCCTTCTCTTTCTATCTTCTTTTCAGTGTCCACTCCCTTCTCCTCCCTGTATCTTCCATTCAATTAGAAAGGCGTTAGTTTGACCATTGTTATTCTGAGCGGCCTTGATGGCTTCATTGGAGGTCTCCATTGGGGCTCATTAACTAAATGGCCACTCGGCTTAAACTGGGTGATGCATATCACTGTGTCAACAACAGACTACAGAGTTTTTCCATTTAAAAAGAACTGGAAAAGGTT